AACTCCATTCTATTTCTAATTTCAAAGAGCTACATATTTAAATAGAGTTCCCAGAGGAACTCTGAAAAATAGACATTGACAAATATGATCAAAGATTAACTGATTATATTAAGGTCTTGATAAGATATGCTGCCCAGTTTTCAGAACTCCATTAGCCACTCCATAAGGATTTCAAATAATTCTAACCAGGTTATACACTGGCCATTCCCTAGCAGTGATAAATATCCTGTATATCTAGTTCTCACTTGTGGGACTCACAATCTTAACGGCTTATGAGCTCTAGCATTTCCATTTTCTCTAGGGTAAATACTGAAAGATATGATAGTGAGTTAAACTGAATCCCTGGCAACTAATCCATGCTTGTCAGTCTTTCCTAGTTCACTTGCCATGTCAGAGACACCACAATAAACTGCCTTGCTTTCAAGTATTCACTTTTCAGTATACTAGTGCTTAGAAGGTTGGGCAATCCTACTTCCATAGTGATACTGCCTCGGAAACCCAAGGAGGGGTCGCTATGAGTCGGGGCCGACTCGACGGCACATAACAACAACAACAAGTGCTTAGAAAAGGAGCTCTGGTGGTGTAGTGGATAAGACATTTGGCTGCTAACCGGAAGATCAGCGATTCAAACCCATTAGCCACTCCCTGGAAGGATGATGGGGCAATTTATTTCTGTAAAGATTTACAGCCTCAGAAACCCAATGGGGGTCACTATGAGTCAGAATCAACTCGATGGCAGTGAGTTTGGTTTTTGAGTGTATAGAAAGGTAACCTTTCTTACTTTGGGGGTCTCTAAGAGAAAGCCCTAAACTGGGTATCAGGACAAGGAATTACTGAAAAACCCAAGTCTCGGGAATACCTGATAAATTTGATATGTGTTTCTCTTTCAATCTTGGGAACGTCCCATCATGGGCTCACCTTATGAAAGCTAAACAAGGCTGGATCTGATAATTAAATGCCAAGAGAGAGAAAAAAAGGAGAATGCAGAAATGACTCCAGTGAGGGCTGGCTTTCCTTCCGATATGAAGATTTTCAGCTTTTCCAAGGCAATTAATAATGATGCCCAAATGCTTGGGGTCTGACATGCAAAGCCAGCAGAACTGGAATGGAGTACAGATATAGTGCCCTCAGTTTTTGCTACAGACTTGGTATGTGAGAAGTGCTCAGTAAGTATTTGTTGAAGGAATCAATAAAGGAATGAATTACAGTTCCTAGGCCACTGGAACTGGAAGGAGTCTCAGAGATAGATCCTTCAGCTCTTAGGACAGAGAGCTCAAAGCATGAGGCACTTGCCAAATGAAGCTGCCCCCTTAAACACGGTTGAGCTCTCAGGCTGTCTCAACAATGGTGGTCATGAGGCAAGAGCTGCTCTATCTGCCGAGCAGAACAGGACCATGTCTAGATGCAAAGGATTTGCTCCTGTGGGAAACCCCAAATAATCTATGTAATATCTCTATGATTGGTTTGATGAGCTCTTTTTATAATGAAGTCCCCAGACATCAATGGTGTTTGAGTCTTGCTGATGCTGCCTTGGTGACACCACTGTGGCTTTGGGGAGAAAGACCCAGGTGTCCTGGGGCACAGGAGAATGGTGCTCTCTGGTAGCCCACTCTCTAGACTTAAAGGACTGTGGGAAAGGAATAGAGGAGCTCGGCTGCTTTCTATGCCTGTTTGTTACTTCCAGTTCTGATGAAATAGGGAGAGGAAAAGACAGATCTTGGTGGATTCTGTGCCTTTCTTCTTGCCTTTCCCCTTTGGATGAGTGTCTGTGTGCTGTGTCTGCCACAGCACAAGAAGAGTTCTGGGAATCACCATTTTTCCACACCCAAGCCTCACTTGGAGCCTGAATGAGCCTCCGCCCTGTCCAGTGAGATGTAAGTCACATTTCATGAATCAGTGAAGCAGGGATTCTTGGTTCTGTGACTCATGACCCTGGCCTCCAGGCATTACAAACAAGATGTGTCATAGAGGTGGAGGAGGACAGAACCGGATGTTCCCAATTCCCCTGACTCACTCAATGTGATTCCACACATGGAGACTGTATTTGGGGATAAATTGACCAGTTGCCCCTTTGAAATATCTGCCTGAGAGGCTCCTGGACTAGATAAATCTTTCTCAGTGATTTTTTTTCCATTATTTATCATGCTTTTTGTTCCCTTAGTTTTGTGGCACAGCTGTATATTCATTTTTTTCCACTTGCCAGTATTACCAGGAGAGGCAAGAAATGGAACATATGACTTGATTGGACAAACCTAATCCCCACATTTCCTTTGTACTGGGAAAAGTATATTTCCAGAATACAGACATCCTCTCTACCTCGGCCTTTTCTCTGCCCCAGATCTCAACCAGATACCAGGAAGATGACAGTCAGTGAATGACAGACTGACGATTCCTTCAGGATTGCTGCAGCTCTAGGTGTGGGAGGGGTGATGGGAATGATTTGTCCATTTTAACCAGCACCCGGGTGCCCCATCCAATCCTTGGGATTATCTCCCCTGCTTCAATATTGCATTTCCTTCCCTTCTATTTGCTCCTCCTCTTCATTCCTTCAGATGATGGAAAAGCGTCCTCTCAGCAGTAAGGTGCTACACAAGTTAGTTATGTGAAGACTGCTTTCTAGTCTTGAATTCAGGATTGAGAGAGGAAAAGTGTCCAGGACTTATCTTAATTATTTCCATTCTATATGAAGCATAAAAAGATAAAAACAATGGCCTGAAATACTCATATTTTAAAGTCTACACTCATTTTTATCAATGGCTACCATTTACAGACAGGCGCTGTGGTAGTACAGTGCCTAGGGCACTTGACTGCTAACCAGAAGGCTGGCGGTTCAAACCCACCAGCCACTCCTCGGAAGGAAGATGGGGCAATCTACTTCCCTAGTGATACTGCCTTGGAAACCCAAGGAGGGGTCACTGTGAGTCGGGGCCGACTCGATGGCACATAACAACAACAACAACAACCCTTTACAGACAGCATACGGACAGCCTTCTGCTGAATGCCTTACATGCCTTACTACAGGCCTTGCTACATGCAATCCACACATTGGTCCTCTGAGGTAGATATTAGCATTGTCTCCATGTTACCAGAGAAGAAACTGAGGTCTGAAGAGATGAAAAGGAACATTTCCAAGGCCACACATGAAGTAATGGATCTTGGGTTTGAATACAGAGGTGTTTGATTCCAGACCACCCCCACTGCAATGTCTACATGCTTAAGGATCTAGAGCAAGAAGGAAATTGGAGTGGATTTCCTATCAGTAAGGATCAGAGAAATTAATCACAACAGTCATGAGAGAGAGAGAGAGGGAGTGTGTGTGTGTGTGTGTATGTGTCTGTGTGGTGGTGGTGCCTTCCAGTCAGTTCCTACTCATAGAGATCTTATGTATAACTGAAGGAAGTGTTGCTCAGTCCAGTGCCATCCTTACAATTGTTGCTGTGTTAAGCCTATTGCTGCAGCAATAGTGTCATTGCATCTCCATGAGGGTCTGTCTCTCTCTTTTCCACTGACTCTTTGCTTTATCAAGCATAATGTCCCTCTCCAGTATTTGTCTTCCTGATGGCATGTCCAAAATAAGGGAAATGAAGTCTCTCCACTCTTGTTTCTAAGGAGTATTCTGGCTGTCCTTCCTCTAGGACAGATTTGTTGGTTCCTCTGACAGTACACAGGATATTCAATATTCTTCTCTCAACCACAATCCAAAAGTGCCAACTCTTCTATTTTCCTTTTTTGTTGTTCAGCTTTTGCATACACATGAGGCAATAGAAAAGACATGGTTGACTCAGGTGCATTTTAGTCATCAAAGTGACATTAAAAAAAAAAAATTTTAGAGTGTTTGAGTATAACTAATGTACAAGTAGAACCCAGATTATGGACACTAGGGATGATTAAAACAGAAAGGGAGGAAAGCAGAAATTTAAAGTATTGTTTGCCTATTGTGTATCAATAATTGTGCTAAGAAATTTATATATAGTAATTCATATACTCTATATAGCAATCCTATGCAACATATATTATTATTTCTCTATCATTTAAATGAGTAGATGGAGACAAGCAAATTGAGCAAAAAAAAATCAGTCATCTCTCCATTTACACTGGGATTAAAGCCAGAGAGACCTGTAACCTTAAATATTTTGTTGGTTTTATCTTTTTTTTTAAATAGTTGCTGCTATTTCTATTTTATATTTCTATTTTATATTTATAGTTGCTGCTAAGAAGTTTCAGAAACTTTATTGTGTTTAACTAACCTCCACACAGAGGAGGGAAACTCAGGTATTAATACACATTAATACAAAACTCAGGGGCCAAAGGGAGGAAGAAAAGCTGATTAAAAGAAAATTGTCTCTGGATGGTAGAATGCCTGTCCTGGGCCCACACACTGAACTCTCTCTAGAAAGCACAGCAGTGTCTCCTTTCACTACCTTATTCCATATATTGACCATTTTGAATTTGAACTGTGATAGTGGGTGGTGTTGTGTATCTGGATTACCAAGAGGGAGCCTTTCTGAGCAGAGGTGGACTGGCCTCTTACCAGCCAGGAAAATGCCTCATACAGAGCTCTGTCCTTGGATTGAAATAATTCACACTTTAGTAGTATCCCCTGGCACTGGGTCTCTGATGGGAACATGATGAGTTATTGCTGGTCTAAACCATGTAAGCTGGAATACTGTTTCAGGGTTCTGTACATTTAGTCTAATGCCTCCTCTGATCACTATCCACTTCCCACCCATCTGGTTAGATGTTTCCACTACTCCATTTTATATAATTACTCTCTTTCCCACACTTACTGTATCTGATCCTAATCCCAGGGACCCTGAGGACCTATGAGAGGTAGCTTGGAATACTTAGCTAATGTCTGAATTCTGAGATCTTCTGAAACCCAGAGCTACACCCTTTTTGGCCCCTACATGTGACAAATGATGACTCTAAACTAACCTACTCTTTTTGGGTTGAATGCTCAACCTTTCCATTTCATCTCTTTCAGGTCTAGATTCTCCTCAATGCAAAGATCCAATTTCACAGTTGTTACAGAGTTTACCTTTGAAGGTTTCTCCATTTTTGGGTGGCAGCATCAGCTCTTCCTCTTCGTGGTCTTTTTGGTCTTGTACCTGTTGACCCTGGCCAGCAATGTTATCATCTTGACAGTTATCTATCTCAACCGTCAACTTCACACACCCATGTATTTCTTCTTGAGTGTGCTGTCCATTTCTGAGACATGTTATACCGTGGCCATCATCCCCCGCATGTTGTCCAGTCTCCTTAGCCCCAAAAAAGCCATCTCCATTTCAGAGTGTGCCACTCAGCTCTTCTTCTACCTCACTTTTGGTGTCAATAATTGTTTCCTGCTCACAGCCATGGGATATGACCGTTATGTGGCCATCTGCAATCCTCTACGGTATTCGGTCATCATGGGCAAAAAGTCTTGTATATATTTGGCAAGTGGGTCCTGGAGCATTGGCCTGAGCACAGCCATCATCCAAGTGTCTTCTGTGTTCAGCCTGCCATTCTGTGATGCCAACATTATCTCCCACTTCTTTTGTGATATCCGGCCCCTAATGAAGCTTGCATGTGCTGATACTACCCTTAAGGAGTTTATCACCTTGCTCATCAGTCTGTGTGTCCTTGTTCTACCCATGATCCTGATCTTTATTTCCTATGTCTTGATTGTCACCACCATCCTCAAGATTGCATCAGCTGAGGGCCGTAAAAAGGCATTTGCCACTTGTGCCTCACACCTCACAGTGGTCATTGTCCACTATGGCTGTACTTCCTTCATCTATCTAAAACCCAAATCCCAAAATTCCCTGCAGGACAGACTTATCTCCATGACTTACACTGTCATCACTCCCTTGCTGAACCCTGTTGTGTACAGTCTGAGGAACAAAGAGGTCAAAGATGCCTTGCTCAGAGCTTTGGGCAGAAAATCACTCTCTTAGGAGTTGGTCAGTCTCAGTAACAATAAAATGTAAAGACTTTGATTAGGTATCAAAGTGAGGGAGCCAGTCAGATAAGAGAGAGTGTGAGGGCCCCAAGTGCTTGATCTGGGAATAATCTGAGAATTGAGTAATATAGTGAAAAAAGGGAGAAAAAGTTTAATAAAAGAAGAGATGGATGTACTTGCCAAGATTGCTGGATAAATTTACTGAGCTTGATAAGAATCAAATAAGCTAATGCATACCCAGAAACTGTTCTATAATGTTAGGCATTACTCTTGTTACTCTTGCCATAAGGTATTGTAAACCAGAGGGACAGTGAGAAGAATATATAGTTCCTTATCACAAGAACTTGTGTTAGCTGGACCTGAACTCGGTATGGAAACCAGGGGCACCAAATATAACAGGTCCTCCATTGTCTACACACAATACTTCCAATGCCATATTTTACACAATTAAAAAAAAAATCAGTCCATTAATTGTGCAGTTAGTGCCCATTACTATATGTATACTCCCTAGATAGCCATGTCAAAAACAGCCTCTGATAGCCAGTTTACAAGCCAGATGAGAAGTTTAAATACTGAGCAGCTTGCACAAAATTTTAAATACTGCTTCCTGTATATCTGAGAATTACAAAAGAGCCCATATATTTCATTTCTTGTCCTTACCTCCTTCTGCCTTTGTCCAACCTTTGCTAGGTCTCCGCAGCTAACACTAATTCTTCATAGTTGTCCTCTTCTCTGAAGAATTTCCATTGGCTGGGAGGGAGTTTCCTTAGAGGTGATAGGCACCCCCACCAAAGAACCATCCACAGCTAAGACAGATTAGCACAGAAAGTATAAAAGGCCACTTGCCCTTTAACTCAAGGTGGGATCAACTTTAGGGTGCAATTCTAAAGTCCTCCCCAAAGAATCAGGCTGAAGTTAGCCTCCTGCTGAAACCACATCCTCACTTCTCTTGTTTTCCTGCTCCTTTCTGCTTCTCTCACTCCCTTTTCCCTGAGAGTACTCCTCAGTCACTCTCACTCATATCCTTGTCTCAGGCTTTGTTTCTGCGAAACCCAACCTAAGGGAGGTGATATCTATATCTATGAGAAAATCACTTCGGCTCCCCTCTTTACTTGTTCTCTCTGCAACTGTTGCACCTAGAACAGAAGCTGGTATATAATTGATGCTCAATCGTTATTTATTAAAAGAAGGAAAGAAGTAGGAAAGGAAGAAAGAAATGAAGAAAGAAAGGGAGGAAGGCAGCTAAGACGGTATGGACAGCTAAAATACAATTAGCATCAACTGACAGCTTTTCTCCCTCTTTCCCTCTTATCATTTAATTAGCTTCAGGCTATTTGACCCCTTTGTGATACCGTTTTTGGTACAATTGCTGAATGCATTCTACATATAAGGCATTATCTTAAGCACTTTGCTCATTTGGAGCTCTGGTGGTGTAGTGTCTAAGGCATTTGACTGTAACCAGAAGCTGGCAGTTCAAACCTACTAGCCACCCCTCAGAAGGAGCTCTGGTAGTATAGTGGCTAAAACACTTGACTGCTAACCAGAAGGCTGGCGGTTCAAACCCACCAGCCACTCCTCGGAAGGAAGGTTGGGCAATCCTACTTCCGTAGTGATACTGCCTCGGAAACCCAAGGAGGGGGTCGCTATGAGTTGGGGCCGACTCGACGGCACATAACAACAACAACAACAACAGCCACCCCTCGGAAGGAAGGTTGGGCAATCTACTTCCGTAGAGATACTGCCTCAGAAACCCAAGAAGGGGTTGCTATGGATTGGATCTGACACAAGGGCAGTGTGTTTGGTTTTTGGTTTGGTTTGATCATTTAATTTTCACTATCAATCTATGAGGTAAGTACTTTCATATCCTTACTTTACAAATGAGGAAACTAGGGCCCAAAAAGATTAAGTGACTTCCCAAGTCATAAAGCTTGTATGTGGCAGAATCAGAGAATCTACCCCAGAGTCTGTAGTTTCATCATAAGCTTATGATTATTATTTTAACCAGATATCTCCTTGAAAATAATTAGGAGAATAAGGAGCCCCCAGAATTATTGATCTATCCACATCTCATGTTCTATTAAGTTTATCCTTAGAATTTGGAAATCAATCCAAAAGTTAAGATGTTGTATATTGTAATACATTTTACTCCTTGAACATATTGATGCATCACCCTGTCTCCACTCAGCACAGACCCAAAGAAGGAAGGAAAAAGAAACTCTAAAGTGGGCCAGAGGCCACTGGGGAATGGTAAAGGTCAAGACCATCAGCTTAATAGCCTCTGTATCTATTCTTTTTCCCATACATCCTGCTTACCCTGCCCCCTTCTAAGAACAGGTGACCTTGAGGTAGAAGATACTTAGGCAGTGTGATATTGTAGACAGAGTATAGGCTTTGGGGCTGGAGAGACATTGTCCCAATCCTGGGCCCACTGTTAAAAAGTGCTTGCCCTAGGGAAAGTTACTTAACCTCCTTGGCCTTCATTCTCTATCTGCACAATGGCACTTTTGGTATCTACCTTCCAAGGTTATGGTGAAGAGTCAACAAGGCTATGAACATAATGTCCGTTGGCAAATGGAAAGCAGCAATAGCTGATAGTGTCCCTTCCATTCTTCCCCACCTTCCCCTGCCACACACATTTCACTCAACATCACTCTTCAGTCAACATTAATTGACTCTTGATGTGGACTCAGAGCCCTTATTAACAACAGGGTTCTCAGGAGAACCCAACTTTCTAAATGGGTTTCCTCCATAGTCCCTATTCCCCTGTTTCAGTAATAATAGCCTAACTATTTTCCCAGGAAGAATTACTCCCTGGTTGTACTATCATGGGTTACTAACCCACCCAGCTGTTGGTTTGCATTTCAACCCTACACTCCCTTTCTCTATGTTCTACCCACCTACTGGGCCACCAACTACTTCTCATAGCATTATTCCCTTTTTGCTCCTTGTTGATTCTGACTCCCTAACATGAGCCCCAGGATTCTTGTAAGTATCAATGCTCATATTCCAGTTGAATAAATACATACATAAACATGTGCAACTACTTTTTAATATGCCACAATTCATTTGAAAACTTCAATTGCTAACTTTATAGTCCTTTTCCTCATAATTCCATTTTTCTGCCAATAGTTACCAGTAACACAATCGTTACCAAATGAGGCTCCATGAAACATTTTGGGATTTAAAAGTTTTCATACACAGAACGTTGGAGATCCCAGCACTATGTGATAGGGGATAGGGTAAGGGATGGGTGTGCCAGTGGAGTAACTTTAAGAATCATGTTGACCTCCATTAAAGCTTTTGTGAACTCTGCAGGTCTCTGGGAGACTTCCACTGATGATTCCAAACCATCATTAGAGTGGTTGGATCTGAGATTCTAAAATAATCATACACCATGGATAACTACAATAAGAACTACTTGTATCTAGACCACAAATAAAGCAGTCTTCAAAATTAGGGGAATGTATGCTGGTTCTACTGGCTGTTGAGCTAGCTTTCTTTCAACAGTCTTTTACATCTGTTCATTTCTGTCTAGTGTGAGATTTCCATCAGTTTACTATTGACGGCAGAATCAGCTTCTCACACATCTGTCATCTGTGAAATGTGAATAATAATATTGACTCTATAGGGTGAATGGAGGATTAAGTGAGGCAAAAATTTCCCAAAATGCTCAATAAATATTAGTTGATTCTGAAGCTAAATACTTCTTCTTTTTTTCACCAGGCATCCCATTTTTATGCCACCTACACAATGCCCTATTTCCAAAATCTCCCTAATGTTTCCTAAAGATATGCCATTGTAGTAAATTGAGGTATTTTGTCTAACTCTTCTTCTTTTTTGTTACGATTCCATGGCTAAATCATATTTAATAATGGGCCATTAATATATAGGTATTTCCTCTGATTCATCTGTTACAATAGGAAATTATGCATATTTGTGAATTATCAGGGAATTGATATGAATGAACCTACTGAGAGTAGTTTATGAGATGATTGGCTCTTTCTTCTCTTTCCTCTCCCTGGATCCCCACACTGATTCAGTTACAAGCTCTGTTGATTCTCTTCAAATGTCTCTCACATCTTTCCCTCTTCCCTGAGTCAATTGCCACCCCTCCAGATCAATCCTAATTATCTATGGCCTGGCCTGTTACATCAGCAGCCTAGCTGATCTCTTTTCATCAGTCTCAAATATACCTTCTCACTGCTTCCAGATCAAACTATAAAAACCCAGTGCTGAAAATGTCTTCTTCAAGAAAAGGAAGCAAAAGCATCAGATAAACATGAAAGAGCATAAGGTGGTTGTGGTAACGAAGTTCATTTCCTTAAAAGGCCGTTGCTAAGGGACTTTGAAGCCCAGAAACAGGAGGGTAAAATGGGTAGCCTCCTAATAGTGATAAAATCTAAATACTCGAAAACTTTTTGTAATCTGGATTCACTTTACCTTCACAATGTGATTTGCTGTAATTAAGTCTAACCAAGGATTATCACCTTCCTGTCCCACTTACATGTGGTATTTATTTCAGTTTATTGGTGACTTCGATGGCTTGTGCTTAACTGCTAACCCTAAAGTTGCTAGTTCAAACCCACTCAGTGGTACTCTGGAAGAAAAGGCCTGGTAATCTTCTTCTGCTAAGATTATAGCCAAGAGAACCTTATGGAGAAGTTCTACTCTGTAATGAGTCTGGGGGTTGCCATACTCAGAGTAGATTCAAAGGCAACTAACAATAACAATAATCACTTGCAACTAAACAGCTAGCTCTTCAAATATTTGCTCAGTATCTCAGTCACGTCTGTCTTCCCAGCATCTAGCACAAGGTCTAGAATATGCTTCATGCTTGCAAAATGAATGCAACCAGATAAACAGAGCACATAAGAGTAAGCATGTAAGAGTAAGAAGTAAGCAGTGATAAATGCTAAAGAAAATGCAAAAGCAACAGCAAATTAATTCTTGGAAAATTTCCATGGAGATGTGACTTTTGAGTTAGATCTTGGCAGACTAGTAGAAGTATGCCAAATGAAGAAGAGAAGGGAATTCTGGCCAAAGGGAACAGAGTGTTCAAAGGCTCATCTCTGTTTCTTAGCCCCTGAGAATAGATCCACAGTGGATCCACTGTGCAATTCCAATTATTTTCTGCCACAGGGCAGAAAAAAACAGGCAGTATGAACTTTCCCCTGTAGAACCATCGCCAAATTTGACTAATTTTATTCCAAAGAGAAAACCATTTTCTCCTACCTCTGGGGAAAGGGCTATCTATCTACACTTCTGAGATCCAAGATGGTATAGATTTAAGCTTCAGTTGCCTACATTTGTAACCACGGATTGCCAAGGCATATCTTTTAAAAATATATGCTTATTCTGCTTATTCAAACAAGGTAAACTCAACAGAAAAAAAAAAAAAAAACCTTCATCTACTACTGCTTTACTTAACTTGAAAACTTTTCCTAGGCTCCCAAAGGGCTATACCTGGAATTGTATAAATGAAACCCACACATAACAAGGCCCCCAGGCACCTGCTGTCTTCATATTCCCAGCCCCATGATGACTCTCTGCTTATTTTCAGGGATTGTCACCCAAGAGTCCCACTGGCTGCTCCTTGGAGAATGTCTTTTCTGCCTTCAAAGCCTTCACCCAGATAGACTGTCAGGAATACCTATGTCTCTCAAGACTGATCAGATTTCTAGGAGTGTGTGTTTATTGACTGCCCACTCAGCCTCACCCCTTGAAATAGATCATCTTGGGCACCTTGCTCTTTCCTGCACTGGCATATTGTGGTCAAGGGGACACAACACATCTGTCTTTGCTCCTCGACCTCCTCTAGCCCAGTTTTCCTGTTGTGCCTCGGCACTAGGCAAAAGACATGTAAGTGATCCTTAGAAAAGGAAATGAAATGGATTTATTATCCTTGGACTAACTTCAATTTATTATAATATAACAGCTTTTGTCATAGCTGGGTGGAAGTATTCATGAAGATGTGCCTGCTCTTCCTTCTCTTGATTTCCTGTGATAAGTTATAGGCTCCCAAGAGCTGAAGACGCTAACCATGCCATAGCACTTATTCAACCCCAAGATGTATTAGATGACATTCTACCCCAGGGTCTCTCAATAGAAATTGTATTAGTATTTGGACAGGACGATTCTTCCTTGGCAGGGTGGGGGGCTGCCCCATGTTTTGCAGGACATTTAGTATCATTAATTGCCAGTAGCATCTGCATCTGTCATTGCAACAGTAAAAATCATTAACACGCATTTCCTGTTTCATCTTAGAGGCCATACAATTGCAGGGCTGCCCTAGTTTATGTCCAAAGGCCTCATGGGAGAGAAATGTCTTTAGCCATATATTTTTGTGCCAAATGATTGTCTTTGTATGGAATTATTTTCCATTGAAGCTTCACTCTTTCTTAGCCTTCTTGGTGTAAATTAATAATGGCTGGTCACCCACTTCTTTAAAATAAATTTTTATAAACTTAAAGGTCATCTCTATGTTTGATCTACCTTCTAACCTTCATGAAAAATATAATTTACTTTATGCAAAAGTATTTTTTCTGAAAATGCATAAGAAAATCAGAATTTAATTTAAAGACACTACAGGAGCTTAAGAGCTCTGGTGATGTAGTGCCTAAGGCACTTGACTGCTAACCAGCAGGCTGTCGGTTCAAACCCACCAGCCACTCCTCGGAAGGAAGGTTGGGCAATCCTACTTCTGTAGTGATACTGCCTCAGAAACCCAAGGAGGGGTTGCTATGGGTCGGGGCCAACTCAATGGCACATAACAACAACAGAAGCTTACTTTTTAAAAAGACAAAATATGAAATATTACATAAATTGGAGTGATCCCCATCCTTCAACACAATGATATATCTTTACTATAACTCTGGCTTTTGTATTCAGGTTTTGTTTTTGCTTTAGGTGAGAGACACTTGAATTTGCTATATCTTCCCTGGTATGATTGTTTACCTCTGCAGAGTAGGTGTATGCATACTCACAAGTTGTATTGGCTGTAATTTACCATCTAGTTGAGGAAGGTAAAGATGTGGCATAGTTTATAACTATAACATGCGTGAATCAGTGCTGTAAACTGTCAACAGACTTCCATCATTCAGACAGGAGTGGGGAGAGGATGGATGTTGGTTAAGATTTGTCTTTTCCTCCTTAAAAACAAGATGAACATTTCTGAGTCTGCTGTTTCTACTTCCTAAAAGATGTACAAGGGAATAATTCATAGTTGTGAAAGAAAAGATGCATCCAATCAATCCCTAAACAAATTGTTTTCAAGCATCTAACTCATGCATAATCCTGAGCTAGAGAGATATAGATATGCAAAGATGTAAAATGCATTATAAAGGCACTGAGTGATAGCAGGAGGAGAGTATTTCACTAATGGGAATAGAAAATAAATATAAGAACATCAAAGTACAATATACTTTCATGGAAGACTGAAAACTTGAATTGGTCTTTGAAGAATGGGGAAGATTTAAATAAGAAGAGGAAAGGAAGAAGATCATCCCAAATAGAAAGAAGATAATGTGTGAAGCAGGAATGGGTGTGTTTATGCAGTGACAAGAAAGGAGTTCTGTAACCCTGGGATGTATAGGAAATTGTAATAGATGGCCACAGAACAAAATATTTTAATTAAAATTACGTAAGCCTAGGGATTGATTTTGATCCACTGGGAGATGTTTCCCAGGTTTGTAGCTGGGAACTAAATTCAATCAATCTCAGAAATGGGCTTAAACTCCCTTACTGAAATCATGTAACTCTTTTATTCTTCTGTATTACAGACTTGGTGACCATTCAATGAAGACAGAAAATCACACTCTCATCCTTGAGTTTGTTTTCCAAGGTTTCTCCACCTTCCATGAACAGCAGCTCACCTTCTTTGTGGTATTTCTTACACTGTACATCTTAACCCTGGCAGGCAATGTCATCATTGTGACCATTATCCAGATTGATCATCATCTTCACACCCCCATGTATTTCTTCTTGAGCATGCTGTCAACTTCAGAGACTGTATATATGCTGGTCATCATCCCAAAGATGCTCTCCACCCTTGTGGGTATGAGCCAGTCCCTCTCATTGGCAGGTTGTGCCACTCAAATGTTCTTTTTTGTAACTTTTGGCATCACTAACTGCTTCCTGCTCACAGCAATGGGATATGACCGCTATGTGGCCATCTGTAATCCACTGAGGTACACAGTTACCATGAACAAAAGGGTGTGTGCTCAGTTGGTATGGGGGGCATATAGCATTGGACTGATTGTAGCAATGACACAGGTGACATCTGTATTCCAGTTACCTTTCTGTGCTACAAAGGTGGCCCATTTCTTCTGTGATATTCGACCTTTAATGAAGCTTTCTTGCATCAACACCACCAACAATGAGATTCTGACTGTGGTCATCAGTGTTCTGGTGCTTGTTGTACCTATGGGTCTAGTTTTTATCTCTTATGTTCTCATTATCTCTACAATCCTTAAGATTGCATCAGTTGAGGGCCGGAAGAAGGCCTTTGCCACCTGTGCCTCCCACCTCACTGTGGTCATTGTCCACTATGGCTGTGCCTCTATCGCCTACCTCAAGCCCAAGTCTGAGAACACCAGGGATCAGGATCAGTTGATCTCAGTAACTTACACTGTCATCACCCCCTTACTCAATCCTGTGGTTTATACCCTGAGGAACAAAGAGGTCAAGGATGCTTTGTGCAGGGCAATTGGTAATAAAGTTTCCTGACAGTTTTGGTAGTGTTCTCCTGAGGCTTTTAACATCCAGACTACACAGGAATATGAGGGTTAGAACCACATGTCCTTGCGAAAGTAAGTCTTTAAAGACCTGCCCTTTAAGTAGGAGTTGAAGAAAAGGACAACAAGATCATCCAACTAGGAATCTGAAAACTTTAAATAAAGGACCCAGTTGAAACACTGACTTTGTGTTTGTTGATAAATAAATGAAGAGATCAGGTCGTATTATGGATCAAAGATTTTCCACTTGCCTTTTAGTTTCCCTGTGGGTTTCCACCTCATGAAAGCAACTTAACCCCCTTTGAAAAAAATATAGTCCAGTGTACCATTTAAAAATTTCCCTGTATCAGAGATCAAGCTCAATTGGCATAACATACTACACAAAAACATTGTTCCACATCCTACTTTGGTGAGTAGCAACTGAGATCTTAAAAGCTTGAAAATGGCCATCTAGATGCAACAATGGGTCTCTCCTCATCCAGAGTAAAAAAGAATGAAGAAAACCAAAGATGCATGGAAACAATTAGTCCAAGGGACTGGTACACCATGTGATCCTCAGCCTATACCACTATGAGACCAGAACTAGATGGCACTGGGCTACCACTGTCAACCACTCAGAGGGGGATCTTTGTAGAAGACCCTGGATGGAGTGGGAGACCAGTGTGGAACAAAACTCAAAATCATTAAAAAAAAAACAGACCAGGTTTGCTGATGTGATAAATCCTGGTGAAACCCCTGAGACTATAGCCCCTAGCTTCCCTTTAATTCTGGAATTGAACCCAGTCCTGTGGCTTTCAGCCAAACAAAAGACAAGCACACAAGCTGAACATTTAAATTAGAGATCGATCATGGGAGAATAGAAGGGCTGCGTATACATGGGGAGACAGCTTAGGCAGCAGGAGTGCATGGGAGGGAAGGACACAGAGAACAGGTAACTACGGGGAGGAGGTGGGAAGAGAGCTGTTGCTTTGTGGAAAATTGCAGTCAATGTCATGAGACAAAGTATATGTGAATTGCTGTATAGAAAATGAATTTGCTTTGTAAATTTTTACCCAAATCACAATAAAAATTACAAAAAAAAAAAAAAATCCCCACATCCCTTCCTTCCTACTTAAAACCTAGAAATAAGGTTTCTCTAATCTGGGCCTCTATTGTTGTTGTTGTTAGGTGCCATTGAGTCATCTCCGACTCCTAGCAACCCTACGCACAGCAGAACGAAACACTGCCTGGTCCTGTGCCAACCTCATGATCTTTGCTATACATGAGTCCATCATTGCAGCCATTGTGTCAATCTATCTCATTGAGGGCCTTCCCCTTCTTCATTGACCCTCTACTTTACCAAGCATGATATCCTTCTCCAGGGAATGGTTCCTTCTGACAACATGACCAAAGTAGGTGAGACGAGGCCTGGCCACTCTCACTTCTAAGGAGCATTCTGGCTGCACTTCTTCCCGGACAGATCTGTTAGCCCTGTTAGCAGTCCATGGTACTCATAACATTCTTCTCCAACACCACAACTCAAAAGCATCAACTCTTCTTCAGTCTTCCTTATTCATTGTCTAGCTCTCATGTGCATAAGAGGCTATTGAAAACACCATGGGCTTGGGTTAGGTGCACCTTAATCTTCAAGGAGATCTTTGCTCTTTATCACCTGTTCTGGTTACCTAGTGCTGCTCTGATAAGAATATACCACAAAGGGATGGCCTTAACAAACAGGAGTTTATTCTTACAGTTTGGAGGCTTTAAGTCCAAGTTCCAAGTGCCAGGCTCTAGGGGCTGGATGAAAGCTCCTCAACCTTGGGGTCCAGCTCTGCCTCCTGCTCCCAGCCCACTGGAGCTAGAGGCATTTCTTCACTCAGACAGCTGCTGGCTGCTGAGGCTGAGAAGCCCCAAGGTTGACAAGTAAAAAGGCACAGTCCCAATGTTACCAAACCACACGGCAGACCATTAACTTAAGTCCATTGTAAGGCCCAAGGTCAGCAGAGCATAGCAGGTTGCTGAGCAATGACACGGTTACACGCAGGGTCCAAGCGTACCATAAACTAGAGACCATTCCTAAGCCTTCTCCTTAAATACAGGGAGCAGACCATATCCCAAAGGCAGCTACTCAGCTGCTTGTGGTAGATCCCACCATAGAGTTGATTGCCAGCCTCATCATGAGGAATAACTACCACCAGCTGCCAAGCCACTCAACCAGGCCCAGCCAAGTTGACACACAAACATAACTACCACATCACCTATTAGAACATTTTAATAGATGTCATATCAGGTTATATAATACCTGTCATATCAGGTATTAAGTCACTATACAAACAGGGAGGATACCTTCAAGATACATAGCCCAAGGGAACTAGATTCCTTCTTCTGGAATCTGTAGCTTCAATTCATACCAAATTCTGGTAAAACTGCTGGTAAATGGCAATGATCACAGGAAGTTTAATTAGAGATCCTGGCAATGCCAGATCTTGTTAGCTTTAGTGACAACTTCTTTAGGTCATATTCTTAGGGCTTAGTAGGTCAGTTTATCTGCTATTAGTTCAGAAAACATGTAATGGGCAACCACAATGAACTAGGTTGTGTACTGAATCCTGAGGAAACAAACATGACAAATCCCTATTACCCGGCTCCAGTAAGCCCAGAGTCTAGTAACAAAGACAACCATTTAAAAGCATAATTTAAATACTTTATGATAAGTGGTATATACAAAAGATTAAAAGAAGTCTAAGGAGGACATATGGTTGCTATGAGCTGGAATTGACTCAGGAGCGGTGGGTTTGGTTTTATCTATCTATTTATTTATTTTTAGGGAAAGAAGGATAAAAAGAGAGACAGAGAGACACAGGGACTGTGTTGGAGATGTCAGAGAAGTCTTCAGAAAAGAGATAATCTGGGCTAGTTTTAAAACACTGATAAGACATATCCTATGGACAAGTTAGAGGAAAATTATTACACACAAAAAGATAAATGTGTTCAAAGGTATGAGAGCAAGAGGAATGTTCAGGAAATGTAAAGTGATTTGGTATACTGAGTCCAGAGTATGAGGGGAAAGATGGAGGGCAAATAAGATCAGAATGGTAGGCTACTTTCAGATTGTAAACCCTTTGTATGTTAAACTAAGAAATTGTGGTTTTAACTTTTAAATAAAGGGAATCATGGAAGACTCAGGAAAACTAGAATTTGGTTTATTAGGTGTCTTTGTGAATTCTGGGCACCCTTATTGTCCTCACTTAGCTCTGCTGAGACATCAAAGAAGTTGTTTGAATCTATAGGATACAAGCCAAGAAAACCATGGGGAAAAGAGAATATGACTAGGGTGTTTGGAAGGAGTACACAGAGATAATTTGTACTTATAATGAAGTTGACATGCAATTAGAGAGAACATGGAGTAAAGTTAGACCAATAAATATTATGTAGATATGGAGTTTTGAAGTCCAGATAAGCACCCAGTGAAGAATCAGAGCTAGACAACTAAAAATTGCTGAAAAGTCAGTGATCATGCTAGAGCTCACATCTGCTGGCACCAAGGCACGAGGACACACCTTCTTCTATAATCAAGGGATGTGCACATTAATCACAGAAGCCTTCAAAAGAAGATACAGAGACCCAAAGGGCACGTGCATCTGCACTCCACACCATATCACAGCTACAGGCCCTCTGTCAGGATCGGCAGAGGCAACAGCAAAAATCAAAGCATACCTAAAGTTCTCTAAGAACATAATAAGATCGATAAAGTAATTAAGGCCAAGCTGTTGACTGGCAAAGAAACATTTAACAATTAAAAAGGACATATTACAGGAAAGAGTTTGACAGACATTCAATCAACATTTATAGAGTCTTTAATATATATCGTATACTGTGGTAGATATGGGAAATGCCAAAATAAACTCCACACTATCCCCTTAATGAAGGAATTCTCAGTCATGTAGGGAAGAAAGGCATATACAGAACTCACCATAATGCATTGTGAAAGAGAAATGGACAGAGTGTCCTTAATATTTAATAACAAAGAAGTAAGCCTTGGGATATTTTTTTCCTGATCTCTATACACCTAAATCTCAACAAGCTGAGAAAAGAGCTTGAATGCTGGAGTTCAGTGAAATAAATGTTTGTCTGGATCTACGTGTTGAGCCGTCTCCTGGAACTGAGACCAATGCTCCTTCTGAGGGGCATCACTCAGAACATCTTAATACTGTGGACTTCTGGTACATTTATCATCAACTTCTCTCAAAATTTTGTTGGATGAATAACTTCACAGCCAGCCATTAAAATCAAACATTTTCAACATCAAAGAATTGATCACAGAATTTCTTCTCATCTGCTGAACAGTCTCAATCTCTTACAGAATACTTGGCTGAAATCAAAGATGCATGGAAATAATTAGTCCAAAGGAGTAATGGAATAGAAATGGGAAACACAAGGTGGAAGTGCTATGAGTGGCATTACATTGTGGGAACTGCAATCAATGACATGAAACAAAATGGGTATGAATTGATGAATGGAAAACTGATGCCCTCTGTAAATCTTTAACCAAATCATGCTAAAAAGTTAAAAAAAAAAAAAAAGTTGGCTGGATAAAAATGATCCAAGAGGAATCCTGCCCTTTCCCAGAATTATTTTGGTCACCACTTATGAGTATCATTTTATGGTCAAAACCTTTTCCATACTTATGGCCCCTTGTCCCAAGACATCCTCACAACCATTATTTCACTAATCTCTCAGAATGATCTTAGGAGGGAGGCAGGCAGAAATAATTATCTCCATTGTACAAATAATAATGTTAAGATAGAGAAAGGGGTGGAGGTGGAACTTCAACTTAACACTAACTTGCCTCGTATTTTCTGTTTATACAGAGTGTATCACCACCCAAGGGCAACTTATACTAGAAAAATCAAGTTAAATAAAATTTCAAATTCACCAGGGCCTCAAACTTCCAAAATAAAATGAAACCTCATTCCCAAGACTTTTCTAAGAGAAAGAAATCTGGGTTTTGTG